GTATCCCCACAGAATTGAACACTTTACTACTGTATAATTCTGTGTGGTTGGGGAAGGTTGGGGTTAAGCTGATTAACTTAACCCAAACACCACTGACATCCTTCAGGCAGCACATGGTACTTCCTATGTAGCTCTCCAACATGATACCTTGTTTGCTGTCTGCCCAACCAGATGTACTGACATCTGTGATGCAGATTTAAAGCACGTAATATCCATTTCCAATCCTGGTATGATCAATTTGGTATCAACATTGCCCACAGTGTGCAAAAAAAATCCATAAATACATACATGCACATGCATTGCCTAAGGGACAGTGGAGGACTCCACAATTTCAATTTATCAGGTTTATAGTTGGGATTCAATGCTACATGAGTCAAGGGCAAATTCTGCACCAAAAACTTTCAAAATTTCCTCTAAACATGAACATGTGTACTTGATATACTCGTAACTGCACGTGATGACAATTGTGACAGTGAAAAACGTTGGTTCACACAAGTCTCAGACTGTTTAATCCCCTGCCAGATCAGACTTCCAAGGCCTGTCCCATGAGAAAAAAAAACCTCATAGTCTTTAGAACAAAATTATCCCTTCCGTCCGTCCCTGATACACAAGGAGCTTGTTGACAAGAAACCAATCGACCATGACTAACTATGAATATTGTACATGTACCTTTTTTATCGGGCATGCTACCGTAATTACATTGTATGACTGTGGCCTCCAAACTTCAATGCGAGCAATTTCATGCAATTGTTTTTGAAGTGCAGCCAAAACAACTAATGACATAACTGATGAACTCATGCATCACTTACGAGCATTTATGCCGTCGAACAACACTTTCCGCATGTTTGCTGCTGAGGTTCCAGACGGTGGGGATGATTACAAAATCCAACTTGCCTGGCCAAGGCTCAATGAAAACCTCCTTGCTTTCCGTCCATGGCATAGTAAACATGAGTAAATCAAGCAAACACACAGTGTTAACTATCTCTCTGGTATGCGACAGAAACTTTCAATTTTTCCTATAGGTCAGTTTCAATGTAACTTCTCGACAAGCACGCTCAGAAATGACAGTTTCAGTTGGACAGAGATTAACAAACCCAATTTTTTCAAGTTCCAATCACAGATATCCATACATGTAAGTGTATACACACATCACCGAAAGAGGCATTATTATTTGCTTACGAAGCAAAGGTTTGGTCACCAGCATGCACACTTATCAATCCGCAGAAAGCAAGTCTGGAACACAATGCCAGTTCGAATCGCTTGAGTTTTTCAGTCATTCAGGATGGAAGTTCTCCTGTCTCCAAAAGTGACAACCCTGTAGCTACTTTTTGCTATTTGCTGTCCTCTCCAGCCACACAACTCTGCAACTTCATAACATATCATCCCAAGAGTTACCAGCAGACACCAACAGCTTTTTCTCGCCAGCAGTGGGAGATACAGTGACTGGTGTCAAGAGTTTGTGTACCCCCAACTGTCAAGCTCGCCAACCATGGAACAATGATGCTGGCTAGCTGCATTGAAGATCCGCTACTGCAGCACAGTGCACAGTGGCCGGTTACCTCCTATGTTCTGTTCCCTTCTGAGAGCTGCTGCAAGTCTGACCGTCCTTTATATACATGTAGCCGACCCACTGGTGTTTGTGAACAACTGCTTATCAGACTGCATTTGTGTGATATGCCAGGCCAATAAAGAATGCCGGGAAAGCAATGACAATGACTTACATGTACCTGTACATGACTGTACACTTGGGCGTCGTTCATTCACCCTGAAATGTATGTATTAAAGGGGAAACAAGAGCTGAGGTTCTAAAGTGTTTAAGCATGTACATACTTGTTAGAGTAATTTACCACTGGTCAACGTTATGGTAGTAATGCAATGTACGCGTACACATAACTTTCTGTAAAAGAAAAATGTAGAACATTTGATCACATGTGATTAAAGGCAGGCACGTAGACAGGCTGCAGACTTTGTGCCAAGTGTAAGCATTGCGTCTTTTGGTAGCATGGCACCAACTTTGATCCTTAATTAATCAAAAGCTGACCAACTGTGTACAAATATCAACAGTATACTGGAGACACCGATTCATACATTTTAAAATAGAGTTGGGTGGTGTCCGTACTACTCAGGTGCAGTTTGAAACTGCAGTTTACTCTTGGGTAAAGTGCTGGCTACTTTCATACTGTAGACTCATCTCAAGCCGCAAAGTATCACAGGGCACATTGTCTATTACATGGTGGGCTACGCTTCCCCCCCCACCCACCACACAATTACACGTACCTGCCAATGTGTTGTGTACACACACAAATGTGTACTTGAAATTATAAAGTTTTCTCTGAGGAGGCAGGATTTTGTGGACTCTTTTTTTTCCTAGGTGCTGATAAAAAAAGCTGTCAGAGAGACTTGAGAACAAAAAAAAAACATGTACATTCTTGCTAGACCAAAATGGGCAAGTGTAACCATTGATTTGTGGCAAGCAAGTTGCCAGTAAAAGCATTTAACTGCAACTGGATAATTTTATAAAGCGCTAACAAACCAAGAGCAGATCCGTGTTGTAGTCAAGTACTTTTCAAGTACCAAATTCTCTGTCAAGATCTGGTTGCGATGGAAAAGGCTGAAGAACATATTCAATGGCAAATGCAAACAGTAAGATCACAAAATAATCTGACCTCATCAGGCCATCACTTTTTCGTGAAAATTAAGTTTTTACAACAAAATTGAAGTGTGGTACACGGCCGAGTACTTTCCTAGTACTTTTCTCCTGAAAACTTAAATTTATTTAAAACTTAACAGGGGAGTCTGAAGTCTCAAATTTCTGTTGCAATCCTACCTTTGTGCATTAACCATCAAATATCAATGTTCTTAGCTTTTTCCCCTCCGAACCAGGTCAATATTTGACAGTAAGTGTGGTACTTGAAAAGTACTGGACTACAACACTGGTGTGGATGCAAGTACGGCATGCCTGTGCCAACTCAATCCATTCCAAATAAATCAATTAGAGCTAGCGCGCACCTTTAAATGCACCCAACCCCCATAAAAAGCCACGGCGAAATCACTCCTTTCCAGCAAGTACGGTACCACAATACGACTGCGGCACAATAACCACTGTTTATCCTTCTCCGCGCCTTGCTCACGGTACGGTGACTCAGCCTCTACCTCTTTTTTTTTTTCAATCTTTGGAACCACCCGACTGGTTCCGATGAATGGGTCGCCAGAGAAGAGGGTCGCTGCCTACAAACCAGCCATGTACATGTATGGTCATTACACTGGCGATTACTATTGTCAGCAAAAATCAGAGAGTTCCTCTTTTTCCATTACAACACTTGACACATTTAGGGGAAATAAACAGCAGAAAGAACAAGGAGCAGGACATAAGTAGATCGATGACGTAAAACAGCATGACATCAGCAGTTGTCTGTGAATAGCTTTCAAAATCACTGAAAATATACATATAGTATTCAGATCCTGGATTATTTTCGGCCCCAAAAAGTTGTAAGACTTCCTCCTTGTTTGTCTGACATTTGTGCAACTTCATGGGAGACTGGCCAAGCGTCTGCAACAGTCACAAGTTCGGCCACTGAAAGGTCTAGAGCCACTAAACTTGTGGGCTGTAACTTTGTAAGGTGTTGAAGTGAAAGCTGTGAGAGTGCACTCCTCGGTTGAATTTCCAATTGTCAGTAAAAAAAAAAATTGAATGGAGTTTTAAAAAAAAAGTCCCCAAGCACTTGTCCAAGATTGTCCAAGTCCTTTTTAATCTGGTAAATTTTGAGCCGATGCCAACTCTAGGAGGGAGCCTGATGTGAAAGTCAGGGCCACTAAGGCCTAATATTCCCAATCCTCCAAGGCAAAGAACGTAACGCCTTCAAGATGTATACTCCTCACCTTCCATCACACTCATTCCCTGTTCCTTCCCCTACAAGAAGACTTACTTCTGAAAAGGTCATTAGATAATAAAGCGGCATACATTGTAAACATTCCCTATTTTAAGCTACTTACATGTAACTGACTTAAGTACAGCACATGAAAACAAACGGAAAAAGTTCCATACATGGACAACATTTGAGGCCCTGTGCACAAAGCTATGGGTCTTGGCTGAAAAAAACCAGAGTTTTCTTAGTAAAGTCTTTAGAATTTTTCTATTAGCTAAATTTCACTTTCTAGGACATGTTATCACTTTCTGACGGCTGTTATAATGTTTTAAGGGGAAATTTGAGTTGTCCGCACATGGAACTCTTTCCAAACAAACTTACAATACATGTACCTGTTTGATATCTCTTGTAGCCAAACGTCTGCTACATGTAGAATGGTCTTGTACAAATACACACCGTACAATCCCATTCAGCAATTTATAAGTCCACCGTAGTTACCAACTTTTCTCAAAGTTCTTGTTACTGAATACTAGACGTCCTTGCCTGCCCGTACGTACTACTGTTTCATGTAGGAGAACAGCGTTATGATAGTCAATCAATGCTTACAATCTGAATGAACTGATTCATGCATTAGTCACAAATCCGGGAAAGAAGGGGTGACGCAAACAACCAGTAGTTTCCATTGCACCCAGGCCCGCAGTGCTGTATTTGGGCATGACATAATATACTATACATGTACAATGTACATGTACATGTACATGTACTGTACACCATGTGCAAGCAGACAGGTACATACATGGATGGGAGTTGTCATCCTTGTTAAAGCCTGTGGGTTATGTAACCTCAACAACACCATTGCACAAAGACTACCTCCATGGTCAAACTAATGCAGCACTAAAGTCTTAATACATGTTGATAGATGCTGCTTAACTGATAAGCACAGATGGCTGTGCAAATTGTAACAAATGTAA